TACTACTACTCCTGCTGCTGCTGCTGCTACTACTACTACTACTACTAATACTACTGCTACTAGTCCTCCTCCTCCTGCTGCTGCTGTTGCTGCTGCTGCTGCTGCTGCTGCTGCTCCTCCTGCTGCTGCTACTGCTATTGCTACTGCTACTGCTATTGCTACTGCTATTGCTACTGCTATTGCTTCTGGTATTGCTACTGCTACTTGCACTGCTACTGCTACTGCTGCTACTACTGCTACTACTGCTACTACCACCACTACTGCTATTACTGCTACCTACGACTCCTGCTGCTGCTGCTTGTAAAGCACTTCTTGTGATTTGTGCAAGATGCCGAACGTGGAACAAGTCTGCACAACAGCTTTTAACACTTTTCCACAAGAGCTTGCTTCTCCATTTCTGGATCCGGGGCCCGGTGCCTAAGACACCACATAAGCCAAAGGATTTGACGTATGGGCCCTCATAGGCAGGATCCGAACGTCCCTGTGCCTGTGCCTTCGCGGATTCCTGTTCCAGAAAGGAGTTGTTGCTGCTACTGCAAGCCGGGGACGCCCGGAGCTTGGCTTGACAGTGTCGATGTGTTAGGGATTGTCAGGGTTACTTAAAGGGATCAGGGGACTTGGAAGGGAGGTTTAAAAGGGTTCGAGTCCTCCGTTTCGGAGTTAGAGCACTTGTAAGCGTGCGTGCAACCGACTTACAATGTCTCCCTTGACCCAGGCTTTAGGCGTTGCCACCGACAAATCTTTGTGATGATTTCAAGGTGATTGTAAATGCACCCTAAACCCTGAACCCTACACGGAATAGCTCATGAAACTGTCATGAGGTCGCAATAGCCAACCTAAAGCTGCATTCAGCACAGCGCCACTAAGGTCTGGTGTCTCGGCTGTGCTGTGCACGTGCTACTTTGCGGACAGATTCTCGTCTTATATATGTTCAACGGCAAGAGGAGAGGGAGACCGTAAGGTTTGTTCGATGACTTTGGTAAGGCCAGATGCTGACTCGATCCGTTGCTTGTTGGCTCCTTTGTGACTGATCGGACTTGATGTTGCCATAGACACCGCTCAGAGCTAGCCGGACGTAAGACAGTGCACTACAGTCAATCGCACAAAAGCTAGACATCCCGTCAGCGTCACCGGCGCTGCCAGCCAGGATCCCTGTCGTTGATCCGGCAAAGATGAGAGAGCAGGAGACATGGACACCAAGATCCTGACCTCTCAGTATGTTACCGCGCCACAAGAGGTTCAGAGATGATATCAGGGAGATGACCATTTGTCCGTCCGTTGATGACTGCATGCAGCATACAACAACGGTTTAGGGTTCAGGGTTGAGGGATACCTAAACCCTAAACCCTAAACCCAACACCCTGAACCCTAAACCCTAAATCCGTCCGAAAGGACCTCCCGCATCTCACAGCGACCTCGCCCGGCGCCACGGAGTTTTGCCGAGCTTTGCTCCATCCACAGCCCAGGCCTTCAATCCTGTGATCAGTGCGTGCACGGGTCCTCGTCACCTCTATGCCATATATTCCAAGAAAGATCAAGAATAGTTCCTAAGCCCGACAAGTGGTATTATCATGGTAATTGGATCATATGGGTGGGTAAGATTTACAGGTCAGAGTTTGGGGAGTTTGCATGTGTTCGGAATGTTTTTAAACTTTGGAAGTCGGGGTTTCTGGCTTAACTTCAAGGGTGTCTGTTGCTTCAGGATTTAGGATTCATGCACAATCCTAGCCCACAACAAAGGCAAATCCGGTTTTGGCCAGACAACTCAGCTAGGTGGCAACAAGAAAGATGCCAAGAACGGCAATTCACAGTTGTGTCGACAAGAGAGGATGATAGTACGCAATAGCACATGTAGCAAAACCCTAAACCCTGCAACACTCGGCATGGTTTTGATTCTCGTCCTCGTCCCGCCCGGGTTCCTTCAGCCAGAGTTGATTGATGCGCCAGCTGCAGGAGTTACTGTCAACGACCGGGGCAAAGAAGAGGTAACATCTTACTCCTTAAGGTTCCTTGTCAGACGTATAGTAGGCCTTGTAGTATCATCCTAAAATTTAAAAAAACCTGAATAATTACCTAGACTATTCTGGGGGGCTCCTGCTCATAATTATAGTAGAATATTCCCCCAAACCCTTTTCTAATTATTAGGGCCCCTACCCTATCCTAATTGTTAAGGCCCCTATACTAGCACATCCAAACAGCTTGCTGTGCTCTTTGTGTTACTACGATCAGAAGCTGTCATTCCCTGGCCAGACGTACCAAAAGGTGCATGTAATATAGAAAGCCCAAAGAATTACCAATACTGTTCCTTAGGGTTCCTTATCGTAGTTATAGTAACCCCCCAGACCACCGGGAGGACCTAAAAAGTAGATCCCCTAATTTGGGACCCCAATTACTAAAGGGTCCTTTCTAGGAACCCCTTAGATGATCTATTTTTTGGATCCTCCCGGTGGTCTGGGCCAAAAGCCTGTTTGAATTATAGGCCCCTGTCTTCCTTTCATGTGGGTAGTTGTCAAAATTATGGTCCCTTTTGGGGTACCCTAAATAATAGGTGCCGTATTCTAATAAGGACCCACAAAGGGACCATAATTTTGACAACCACCCATGTCTTTAGCTGCCCGTTGCAGGAAGCGGCCCAGCGCAGCTGCCTGGCGCGAAGTGCCCAGAGACTCCAATATCCCTTCATTAAGGAACATACCTTAAATCATATTCAGGATCCTACTATAATTTCAGGAATAGTCCTTAATTAAGGGATATTGGTTTCTCTGGGAAGGTACCTCATAGTCGGCCGACGGCAGTCGGCAGTGCAATGCGTGGCATTGGTCTTGCTGGCGGCTGCAGGGATGTTGGTAAGCCTCTCTGAGGCATCTCAGGCCAGGGTGTGCGGCGTAGGGTTGCAGGCTGTGTTGCAAATCCAGGCGTGACCCCCCAAAGCCTCAGCATTTTGGGCATCCTATGCTTGAACAACTTTTGGAACTTCTGTTGAGCAACACTTTATAATTTAATTGAAACTGAAGCATCGACCGATCCAGCCTTAAACAGCTTTCGAGCATTCTTGACTTCCTGGCTTCTCGGTGTTTGGGCGACGAACTTATTGGCTTTCCGGCTTCCAAGCGGTTTTGGGCTTCCGCAGCTCCTCGACAACCCCCGCATCTTCACTCCAGGGTTTAGGTTTTAGGTTTTGGTTTTGAGTTTAGGGTTTAGGGTTTGCGACCAAACCCTAAACCCTAAACCTATCGGATGTGGACGTGATCTAGTCTGGACCCCTCAACCCCGAAGCTTGGCTGGGTCCTTCCCCCTGCAGTACCAGTTCCCTAAAAAGGAGCTATGCGGCCCCACTCATAAGCCCAGCTACACCCATAGTCGTCTCATGTGGGGACTGCTACCCCGAGAAGCTTGCCAAGAGGTGTAGACTTAACCTTGCCTATCCTAACCTGAACGGTCAACCCTAAACCCCAAACCCCGTAGAGTAAGCCTTGTAGACCTTGTAGAAGGCTCCCAGAGCTCTAAACACCAAAATGCGAAAGCCTCGGCCTAGGTCCCCTATAGGGGACCCCAACCCCCAAACCCCTAAAGCCCTTTCAGACTGGAACTGGTGCCCCTCGCCTGGGCTTGTCCGAGTGGGAGAACTGAAACCCGAAACCCTAAACCCCCCAAACCCCCCTAAACCTCTAAACCCCTAAACCCCCAAACCCCAAACCCTGAACTCTAGGCTTCGTGGCTCTGGGTCCCAATGCAGGTGTCGAAGACTTCGAGAAGCGCTGAGAGCCTCGCAATTGGCACATTTTGCGCCTCGTCCTGGGGTTTTGGGTCAACTTAGGATCCCCAAACCTACTTTTTTTGTAGGGTCCCTATAAATCCCATATTAGGGTTTATAATAAGAACCTACAAAGAAATGGGTTTAGGGTTCTTAATGTAGGGTTTAGGATAGCAGCACTGCATCAGCCGAGCCTGAGTCCAAAAAAGGGTTTGGGGTGGGGTGTAGGCCGGTTGCACAGCAGGGAAGAGTGTGAAAGGCTCTTTACTCTTATGGTCGAAGGTTTCAGGGTTCGGGGGTTGAAGGATGACGGGTTTATTTTTTAACTGAGTCTGGGCTTCATTCCAGCATGCGTCCCTGGAACCTAACCCTATTCCCGACTGTAAGGCCTAAACCCTAAAACCCTAATTAACCCCAAAACCCTGAGACCGGGGTTCCTGGTTGTGGGCACGAGCGTTGCAACTTCGTAGCTTCTACTCAGACCCCAAACCGAAACTCCCTTCACCCTATAATCATCGAAAGCCTACATTTGCCCAAAAAGCATTAGGGTTTAGGGTTTAGGACAACAACAGCCACAACAAAACGACTAAAAGACAAAGGTATACTTCTGGGGTCCGCTTTGAGCGGTCTCGGTGGTGCCATTGTCGAGTGGACGCTGCAGCGGAAGCGGCGGGACAGCCGCGTGGCACTGCCTTCAGGTGTTGTGGTGTAGGACTTGGGGTTTCCTTAAAAACTCGAAACTTCCAAGCAAACAGCCGTGATCTGACGCAACCTTAGGGTGTGAGCTTTCAGCGGCTTTGGCTTTCGGAAGCGTGCAGGTACGGACTGGCAGCTATAGAGCAAGCTCCCAAATATTGTCAACCCCGAAACCTTAAACCCGAAACCCGAAAGCCTAAATCTTAAGCCCGAAACCCGGCTGATGAGCATTGTACTCTGCGACGCGAGAAGTTAAGGGATTTCAGGATTTTAAGGTTGAGTAGTTTAGAGTGGAGGGTTGTACTCTATACAGCATGCAGAACGACTTAGACTCGACCTTCCGTGGAGCAGTTATTCCATTTTCCCAAAACTGGATTCTGTGGGAAGAGGATGTGAGCCTAGCGTGAGTCTCTGCGCGGTAGGCTCCGACTTAGGCAAGCTTAGCCGCTTAGCCCCAAGAACATTTCCGGAACCTTAAACCCGAAACCCTAAGCCCTAAACTGCCGGAACCCCAACCCTAATCCCTAAACCCTAATCCCTTAGGAACCAGACTGGGAGAGTTTGACGCAGCACTAATACGTAGCAACAAGAGGCGCAAGATCCCTCCAGGCTACTTCCTTCGGAGAATCGTTAGGGTTTAGGGGTTTAGGGTTTAGAGTGTCCGAAATTTAGGCGCCCACACATACTTCTTATCATTAGTAAATTATGGTTATGATTCTCCTGGTGAATATTACATCGTTATTGCTGTCATTTACTTGTTTTACCTCACCACAACTGCACCGGGACCGCTAGACCTTGCACACTGCCCTCACATGAACTCAGAGCTCCACTACCTGAAACCCCACACATTTCTCTGGCTCAATGGGAGCTGCGGGTCCTGGGTTTAGGGTTTTGGGGTTTAGGGTTTAGGGTTTAGGGTTTGGGGTTTAGGGTTTAGGGTGTAGGGTTTAGGGTTTAGGGTTTAGGGTGCAGGGTTTAGGGTTTAGGCAAAAAAGGGTGTAGGGTTTAGGGTTTGGGGTTTCTGCTGTTGAGACGGTTTTGGGGGCCCATGTTGGGGGGTTCTTTTCGCTCGGTGCAGTTCTGAGAATGAACCTGGGCTTTTGTGGGCTGTTGTAGGCGCAGAGCACCGGAGCCTTTGCCAAGCACAGGCGGAGCACAGAAGCCATAGCCCCAAAAACCTGAAAGCCAGAGCCCACCCAGAGACTCCAATATCCCTTAATTAAGGAATATTCGCTGAAATATAATAGGATCCTTAATATGATTAAAGGTATATTCCTTAATTAAGGGGGATATTGGAGTCTCTGGGCATGATATGAGCTTGTTGCCACCCCTGCTCCGCCATCTGAAGACGCGCATGGCTGTTGTCCGAGGTTACCTGTTTAGCTCAGAGATGGGCATCTTGGGATGCGCCGCTCTGGCTTGATATGATGTCTTTGAGCTTGAAGATGCTATAGCGGCCTCAATAATGACCTCTAATATTTTGGGGGGGCTCCTTATTATACGTATACTTTAAAGGACCCCCGAACCCTATATTCAAGTTATTAAGGCCCCTATATTCACCCAATTTCCTCTACTTTCTTGGGGGTTCCTTATTATAACTATGCTATAAAACCTTATTCAAATGATTAAGGCCCCTATTTTAACCCAATTTCCTCTACTATTTTGGGGGGGCTCCTTATCACAACTATAGGACCCCAAAACCCTATACAACTTATTAAGGCCCCTAAATTCATCGCCTGAGGCCTAAAGTCTAAACCGCACAGCTGCAAGGCAACCTGCATCATCAACGTCCACAGCTCGAGGTTTAAGGTTTAGGGATTTTAGGTACAGATCGAGTTTTAAGGTTTAGGGAATTTAGGGTTTGGGGTACAGATCGAGGTTTAAGGTTTCGGGAATTTAGGTTTTGGGGTACAGATCGAGGTTTAACGTTTAGGGATTGGTGCTGGGTGACTTGGGTTCCAGCAGGTCCGGCTACTCGAACAGACTTGGAAGCCAGTCAAACTGTTTGCATCTGATCTGCCTTTCCAGTGCAGTTGTTTGGGCCTGTGCTAAGCCCTAAACCCTGAACTCACACAACCCAAAACCCTAGAACCCCTGAGCCCTACCTGTCGCCCCCAAAAACCTACTTGTTTAAGGAGCTGTACATCGGAACCGTATTAAGGAATCCTAAAAGGTGAGTCTTTTCGGCCGCAAAAGTTTTAGGGTCAATAGGACTCGGGAAGTTTAGGGCTTTTGAGCGTTTTGTTTTAATCGGGAGTTGCAGAATTACGGGCTGCAGGCTGGTCTTTCCCAACGTGGGAGAGTCTGGTTGAGGATCTCAGGGCTGCCACATTGTAAGAGAGTGGCCTTAATAATTACCTACATTATTCTGGAGGGGGGGTTCCTGATTATATGTATAGTATAATATACCCCAAGACCCTGTTCTATTTATGAAGGCCCCTGCATTAGTGCTGTTTCTGCAGGCGCGACCCGTCAGCTAGGCAGGGGGAAACGCCTCGAATTCCCTTATCCCCCAAAGTCCTAGACCCTTTGCACCCAAAGCCCCGCATCTTAAACAAAAACCTGAAACCCTAAACCCTTAAACCCTAAACCCTAAATCTTAAAAAGACGTGTAGGAGCTCCTCAAAGGGACCCGTGCAGGAACAGACGAACAACGAAAACAGGTTTTCCTCGTATTCCCGCGCGAGCAGCAGCCGTGTTGCGAAGCCTCGGGTTTCTGCTGAAGGTTTTGTAGGAGCTTATGCATATTGACTGAGGGTGTTTATCAGGGTGCTTCGCTTTTTTGGAAGGGCTTGCATCGGATTTCATAACGTTTGTGTGGGGTTCTACCCGGGAGTTCTGGAAAAAGTTTGAGGGTGTTGTTGTTCAGGTGATCATCGTCATCACCCACCTGATGAATGCCACTCCGGGAGACGAAGGTGTTAGGGTTTCGGGTCTAGGATGGGAGGGAGGGTTTAGGGTTTAGGGTCCAGTAGCGAAAGGGATGGGAGGGAGGGACGAGCAGTGTAGGAGCTGCAGTGTAACACTATATTAAACCAAGTGACTAACTATAGTTTGGCTACTATAGGAATCTTCACAACTAGAATAGGGAATAAGGAACCCCCAAAATACTATTGGTAATTATTTAGGCCCCTATACCAGTGTCACCCTGAGGACTCTTCCAGCGGTGGACTCCACGGACCTTCATACCCGTGTTGCTTGGCAAGAAGATGTCAGGTTCAGGACAAGTCTTTGGTTTAGGGCATGGCTTTGGAGCTTTGTGTTTTGGGTTTTAGAGTGAGTTTAGGCTGCTTGCAAGAGTCCTGGATGCAAAAAGAGTGAGTTTAGGTTTTACAGTTTAGGGTTTAGGGTTGGCAGGCCTAGTGTTAAGCACGCATCTCAGGATATCCCAGGGATGGGGCGGCATTGTCGTGGGCCTCATTGCGCCTTTGCTTGCTTTAGCAAAGCTTTGGATCGGTTGAAGGAGGTTTTTTAAGGATAGCCTGCTGTGTACTGGCACAACAGCCGCAAGTTTCACTTACAACTCTCAGCCATGCATGACCTGCCATGTTTGTCCGAATCACTTTCCAGCTCTTCCTTCTGCGACGAATGGTGGAGTCCGGCCACCAATGTTCGTAGGGTAGGTGAGGGTTTTGACGACATGACGACTAGTATAGAGGTTCAAGAAGGGAATGTTCACTAACTATGCTGTGGTCCACATCATGAAGACCTCCACTGCCTTATTTTGCCTGCTGCTTGCTCCCTTTGAGGCAAAGACCTCAGGCAGCGTGAAGAAAGGATTTGCGGTGATGGTCGGACTGATTCTGTCCTGTGTGCTGAAGTGGCTGGTGGACGGCAACTCGGCTGATAACTCTGCTCGAGAGAAATTCGAAGGCGTTGCTTTGAATCATGTCTGTGCTGTATTCCCTGAGCTCTAAACACTAGCGCACTGTATACCAGTTCCTTTCAGACTCGCGATTGGAGAGGGACAGAGAAAGAGAGAGAGAGAGAGAAAGAGACAAAGAAAGACAGAGAGAGAGAGAGAGAGTGGAGATAAGGAGAGTGGCCTTTAACCTAGGGTAAAAGCAAAGGCTTCAGATCATGTGCGCTGCAGCCCCTGCTCAAACGGTTTTTGGGGTAGCCATCAGATAGAGATGGTGACACGAGGCTTGTGTGTGTGTGAGTGTGTCTGTGTGTGTGTGTGTGCGTGTTGTGTTTCATTTTACCTGTTTCTTCGTGTGTGTCTGTGTGTTGGTGGTGGGCTGGGCCTCAGCGGCGCGATTGCGTTTGCTCGAGATGGAAAGGACTGCCTCCTGTGGTTAGCATTTCTTACCTGTGCACTCTCCTGGTCTCGGGGGACCCTTTCCGACTGCCTCGGAAACCCAGCTATGTTTGGGCAGGTATGATGTGTGGGGGGGTAATGACCTGTCCCTTAGGCCCCTCAGAAGGGAAACAAGAGAGTGAGGCTCCGCATGAGCCTGAGCCTCGTGTGTGCTATCTTGGCCCTACTGCTCCAGTTAGGGTTTAGGGTTCAGGGCAGAGTCCTTGGTCCTGCGCTCAGTGGGGTGCTGGCATTCATCAAGTCCAGTTGTAAAAAAGGGTTGCTTGTGTTGTCATTGTGGTACATTCCTTTCGTTAGCCGACGATCACGGTCAAGCCCCTTATGCACGGCAGCAAAGGCGAGTCTCTCCATTGGTCGACGATCGTAGCAGTTCCGCTGGTAGCCACGAGTATATATCTGCACGCCAAGTATCCGCCGCCGAAGACGCCTGCAAAGCAGGTGTAGACTTTGGGCATGCGGAGACAATATGACCATGTAATATACGATCCATAGCGTGCTGTGGGTTGATTGAACACAACCTTGAAGAATATTGGGTTCCCAAACTCGGGGTTGTCTTAGAAGAGGTATCAGGTACAACACTGCTTGGTGAAAGATATCAACGATGTAGACGTGACTCTGCGGAGAAGCTCGTCGAAAGAGGTAGCAGCTGCTGGTCCATATTGGGTCTGTTCGCACCAGATTATGCCAAGATAGCCCCGTAAACCCTAAACCCTAAACCGTTCCTAAACTCCTAAACTTAACCCTTGTTTAAGCTGCTTCCTTTGGATGACTTCAGTGAGCTTCCCGCAGACAATTAGTACGCAAGGCTGCCTTGTCACCCCAGTCAGAGAGCTGCGAGGAAAAACAAAACTCATGTTGCCAAATGCTGTCCGTGCCTTACAAGATGCGAGGCTGGTGCCACCAGGACTTCAACAGGACTTCAGGTTAACCACTGGAACCAACCCTAAGCCAATTTTCAGGTTAACCACTGAAACCAACCCTAAGCCAATTTTCAAGCTAAGCCTCAAGATGTCTAAAGCATGAAACATGTCTTGGGACAGGCAGGGACACCTTTGGAGTATCAGATACATTGCAAAGACCTTCATGCCACAGGTAAGTCCTACGACTTGACGCCGGCACTTTAACATGCAAGACCCTCGACCCTCATTTTAAGTTCTCCGATTTGAGGCCGGCAAGCCGGCACTCCTGCACCGATGGTTTAGGCTTTACGGCAGTGGGTACAAGAGGCAAAGGGACTATCCCAGAGGTTCAAAAAAGCAGGTGCGAAGCCCTAAACACAAAGCCCTATAGGCCCTAAACGAAAATTACAACCCTAAACCCTAAACCTAGGAGGCAAAAGACCCTAAACGAAAATTACAACAAGAAGCCCGAAGCCCTCAGCTCTAAACCCTAAACCCTAAACCCTAAACCCTAAAGCCCTGAGCCCGGATCCTTAAGAAGCCAACATGCACTCGCCTGGAGTGTCCGCGTGTGAGCGCCGAAACCCTTAGAGGGCCCTAAGTCACTCAGTCCGAAACGGTTTAAAGATTTGGGTTTAGGATCCCTTAGAGGAGCCTTTAAAAGGAGCCCTCATAGAAACGGTTTAGGGTTAAGGGTTTAGGGTTTAAAGTTTCGCGTGTAGGGTGCCCGAAGTCCGGTGCCCGAAGTCCGAAAACTCAAAACAGGCAGAAGAAATAGGGGCTTAGGGCTTAAAATTTAGGGTTTAGGGTTTATAAGGGTTTAAGGTTTATGGTTTATACAAGAAGACTAGGGGCTTAGGGCTTAAGAGTTTAGTGTTTAGGGTTTATAAGGGCTGTCCTGGCGTGACGTTGCAAGCCAGTTGCAAAAAGGGTTTATAAGGGTTTAACGATTAGGGCTTAGGCTTTAGGGCTTAAAAGTTTAGGGTTTAGGGTTTATACAGGTTTTAGAGAGTAGGGTTTAGGGTTTAAACCATTAAAGTTTCGGGTTTAGGGGGGCCGTTCAAGCCCAAAGTTCAAAACCCTAAAACCCTACGCCCTGAACCCATACGCCCTAAGGTTTAGGGTCTAGAGGGATTAGGGGTTTAGGGTTCAAGCTCTATAGGAGACAGAAGACTAGGGCCTTTAGAAACACACCCTATAAACCCTAAACCCTAATCCCGATACAACAAAACGGGGTATCCTCTGCTCGCAATAAGAGGAGCTCCCAACAGCTGATGCTCATCGTCGAGCGCAAAGCAAGTTGTGACCCCGGCTCGGGCTCTCTAGGGTTTTCGGGCTTTAGGGCTTTA